AAGCCTCCACAAAAGGTCAGGGAAGAGAACAGCAAAAATGCAACACAAAATCATTTTCTATGAAGGCAGTGGTTCCATCACAGGAGAGACCTGTCCACCACCTGAGCAGGAGGCACGGGACAAAGGTGGAACTTCTCAAGAGGCAGACAGGGGGGGGGGGGGGGGGTTTGAATTCTTTCCAGAAATAAGCAAAATAAATAAATGTATATATTTACCCTCCTAGGATAGCGACCAAATACCCCACGCACCCCACATTTGTTTAGAAACATTTTCTCAGTTATTCCGGCCCAGGTCTTTCAGCTTTCCCTGAACAGGAGGTGATATTCTCCTGAGTCCACAAGTCTAACACACACTTTACATTCAATCAACACCAATCTGTGTACATTGTTAATTCTCACATTTTTAAATAAACACTATATGGGCACCACATTACGTAAGACCCGCTGACTCAAATCTTCCCATATTCACCCGTTAAAGCCTGTGCATTCTCAGAAAACATGGCTCCAGTTTGGGGTGACTCATCGCCATGGACTGATATCAGCTTCCACAGGGTTTGAAATATCTCCTTGTTTGTACGGTGGGGGGGTGGGGGGGGTTCACTTAAAACCTGCTACCCTCAGAGAATTTCAGGATGCCGGATCTGAGGGGATTATCCAGGTATCAGTGAGACTGACGGCTGGAGAGAATGTGAGTGAAGGAGCATTTGATCAGTAGGTGCCGCTGGTAAGACATTAAGGTATAAATGGACACAGGTTTAAGCTGCCATGGGAGTAAAAGATTCCCAATCCTGAAGTTGCCATGGGCAAAGTGACTCATTACTGTGAGCTCCAGGGATGCTGTCCCTACATTTACCCTCTCTAAAGAAGAAAAATGTGTCCTGAATTCAAACAAAGAGAAGAGAAAAGTGTCATTTTTTTGCTAACACGGTGGCAAAATTGATAGGAATATGATAATGAAATACATTTAAAATAATAAATCAGGTCAGACCACGTCGGAAAATATTTCATCTAACCTTGGTAAGGGGTTATTTGTTTGGATTTCAAATGATTACAATTTTATCAGATTAATCACAGGGTGGCTGTGGATTAATTATTCATTAATTATGATTAATCATTATTGTAATTTAATCATGAATTATCGTAATTATCGTGATATTGCAGGAACAGAGAGTCAAATATGAAAGGTTGTTATATTTGTTTTTATCGTTTTTTATCTGTAATGATGGAATTATTTATCTATAAAAAAGGAAAATGCAAAAAAAACACCCCATCACTGAGGATCACAGTGGATTTTAATCGTTACTTTGCGTGATCTTCTGCGGTGGTTTTTAGAAGAGTTAATATTTTAAGTTGAAGTTTCTTCACTGAAACATAAACTTGTTCCTGCAGTGTGTGACAGTGACAACATGTGCACTGACTGTGTCTTACAGCAGTAAGTGGATGGACAGTGGAATTATTGGCTATACAGTACACTTCATTCTGTCCATGCGTTTTAATAAGTGACAGTGTGTGATCTGAACCGTCCCTATCAGACTGTCCCAGTCCTCACCAGCCCTGTTTGTCTTTGTTAGGACAGGTGAACTGTCTCATGGAAAGCAGCCATAGCATCTGCCCCCCACCTTTAATACCCCCCCCCCTCCTCCCCAGACCTGCTTCCTGTCTGCAGAAAGCTTCAAGGTGTCCTCTCCACACCATTACCTTGGCTGACAATCTGCAGTGACTGAGTGGAAGATTGAGTGGAAGTGACGTTTTAATGGCAGGAGAATGTAAAGGTAGCTCATCTGCACAAACTGACTAAACAAGTTTTTATATGGCTGCACCTGTTACTTAATGTACGTTACTAAACCAACCTTTATATATGCCAGTAAATCTGCAGCTTGTGCAAAGTGTCAGCTGCAACAAGAGAAACTCTGCTGCCGCCGCCCACCAGTTTCAGAAAGTGACCCGGGAGTCAGCTGATCACGCTTGAAAGTATCTACAAATATTGTAGAACACGCACTGACTGGATGCACGTGCTTCTAGATTGTGGTATAACAATAAAAACAGGAGCTTCTCTGTTGCAGCAGCTCCTGTAACAACTGGATTAACAATCTAATCTAACCAGAATCTAATTTGTTGTTGCTGTAATAACTGTTTTAATCTCCTAAATGCTATGTTTTTTATTATTATTCTTTTGTGGATGATTTTTATGAAATATTTATGTCATTTACTGGTTGCTCTCTCTGCAGCTGGACTCCTGTGCACTTGCTTTGACTTGCTGCTGCTGCTAACACTGTCAGTGTCAGAAACAGTTAGTCCAGGTTCAAGAACTACAATGTGATCAAATTTGAGTCCAAGTTTTTCACCACTTTCATTTCAGAACACAGGAAGCAGAAACACACAAAGTTGATAACAATATCAAAATAGTCAATCACTAGACTTCACTCCACATTTCTTTCACATGCCAAATGAGCCTCTGCTGAAGAGGGCGCGGTGGCCAAGTGGTAAGGTGTCGGTCTCGTAAACCGAAGATCACGGGTTCGAACCCCGTCCGTGCCTCAGCGGAATGTGAATCTGAACTTATATGTTCTTATAGTTTTAAGGGGCAATAGTGGCTTGGTAGTTAAATAAGCAGACTTGGGTCTGGAAGGTTTCAGGTTCAGGTGCCACTGAGGTGCTCTGAGCAAGGCACTGTCCCCACACACTGCTGCACCCTGCTCACTTTGGTGATGGGTAAAATGCACAGGTCACATTTTGTTGTGTGCTGTGTCACAATGACAAATGCTTTAAAAAAAATAGTAAATAGCAAAAGTAACAAGGTAAAAGACAAAAAATACAGAGTTGTTGTAGACATGGCAACAGAACTCTGTACAGCTTTCTTATTGTTTGTGTGACTCCAGCTCACTTATCTGGATGACACTTTCAGGGTCACTGTCAAGTCACGTCACCCCCTAAAATGTACTGTTTGTTTTGGATGGAAAAACTAGAAATATAATCTGAATGTTAGAAATCCTGGTCCGACACCTGACAAACAGTTTTAATGTTGTTGTTGTGCTACGCTGTGTCTCTGTCAGTAAGTATCCTTGTCAATCATTGTTTGTCATTTTCCATCACTGCTCTGGCTCTGATAACCAACATTAAACAGTGAGATGTGATTTGTGGCTTTCTGAGGAAGCGTTCACTTGTTGGTCAGTGAGACTGAGTCATACATGCACGGCTCTCCCCTTCACAATCTCTTTGTTTATTTATAATATTCATAAAAAACAACACATTTCTTTGACTCTATGTGACAGTCATCTGTTGCTGCAGACTCTACAGTGTGGTCTCTCCAATGTTGTGCCTGTAGATGAAAACAGTGCCAGTCTCTGCAGCTGCAAGAGCCAGTGTGCCGAGGGAGAAAGGCAGACTTTGCCAAAATAATCCTTTAGTAAAGGCCCTTGTCCCAGACACCAGCAGCGATGATCCACACACACATACACACGGAGTAGGGGTGGGTGCGGTTGTGTACTTTGGGACACCAGACACTGACAGTGACAGTGACTGTATTTGCTGTCTGTCCATTTGCACTGTGGACACAAACACACTTCTGCACATGCTCCAGTGTTTTGGTGCTTCAGCTCTCATCACCAGCACGGCTTCAGCGTTGTTTATTCAGGTGTGTCAAAAGACCCGTGTGTGACATTATCACATTCACCCAAGTGTGAATTAAATCATCCATGGGAGGGGTGAGAGTTCAGCACGAGTCCATTTAAAATCAGCTGGAGGCACCTGATGAGTAAAGACAGGTGTGATTCCAAAAGTCACACCTGTAAAAAATGTTCCTTATTAGAGACCAGATGAAAGGTGAATGGCTTGTTTTTTTTCTGAATCATTCAGTGCAGTAATATTCATGTGTGTAAAACTCACCATGTGTGGGAGTAAGCCATGACTCTTTCCAAGCCCACGCAGCACAACCATAAATAGATGTACTTACGTAAAAATACCGTGCCGTGTATTTGTAGTGAAGATGCATTACATTGGAAACTGAAGAGTGATGTAGAATTACAGCAAATATTTGCTGTAACAGTTGCTGTATTTCTCCCTCACATGAGGTCTGTTGGTAGGAGCTGACTGGAGGAGAGCAGAACATGACTGCTCCCTGGTGTTGTCTGTTTATTAATGGAAGATCAATTCATTATTCCATATGCAGAGGGATAACTAACTGAGTGGAGAGGAAGGAAGGCAGATCAACAAGAGTTGCATTTAAGGAAGCACACCTGCAGGATCAATGAATCAGTGAATCAAGTTCCTGCATGTGCATGGCTCTGCTGAATCTGGGAGAAGGGGGGACGGGGGGACGGGGGGTGTTCTCCACCCCTAGAGCCTCCATCACGTGGACGTCCAGTCATTGATCACAACATGGTATGTATGTCAATATACACAGAGTCCATGAGCATTTATAATGAGATGTCCTTTCCCCCCAAATGCATCACACCAAAATAACAGTAATCAATGAGTCCGCAGCTCAAAGAGGGCGATGGAGAAAACCACAGGCATCATGGACCACACATGCATGCAGATGGCAGCGAGGCTGACCGGGTAGCATCACTGTGCAGAAAGGCAACAGATAGCCCACTGTAAGTGATGCACTAGTCAATAATATTATATTAAACGGCCCCCACGCTGTTCCCCAAATACTGCTTGCAGCCATAACATCCCCAGTGGGCTACAGGCGTCTCTTTATAACGCACCGATCTGAAGATTGGACACCCGACCATCGTTATTACCATAGACGCAGATATGGCACATTAATTTTCAATTAGCACCAATACGATTTAGTCACAGTGTGTATTTATTTATTTATTTATTTTTGCGTCCAAGGATGGAAACATATGCGGTAATTATCCCTTAGTGTGCTGATATCCCCATTCGAGCACAGAAGAGAGGAGAGGATGCGATTAAAAAAACACACACACAACCGCAGAATTCAAACACAACGCATATTTGCACGTTAATGTCGCGATAATGCTGAGTGTTTCTTACCTGCGCCCTCAGCCAAATCGATACCCGGTTCGGTGAGAATATTCGGGTCACTTTGAGATCTGCCTCGCTGCAGACAGCCGTCTAGTCCATCCGATGTAGCCATGGAGAGGAAAGACAGCGCAGGAATCCTGAATACAATATTTAGAAAACACCCAAACCGGAGGCAGGCAAGGTCAGGAGGGGAGAGCAGCGAGCGGTAGTGCAGATTTGATTTGCTCTGACAACAGCCGCGTTCAGCATCTAGCAGGGAGCCATGGCTGAGCAGAAAATGTGTGTGTGTGTATGTGTGTGAGTGAGTGTGCGCGCGCGCGTGTGTCTGGACTATACGCGATGATGAAGGGGGAATGTGGGAGGGGTGACGTGATATCCCCCCTTTGATGCCCGGCCCTCCAGCTAAATCACTCACATATATATACACACACAGTATATATGTGTGTATATACAAATATATATACACACAGTATATATATAGAGTATATATATATATATATATACACAGTATATATGTATATATATGGATGTGTGTTTATGTATGCATTATAAAAGAGCACAATATTGACATAAGTAGATTTAAGTTTTGATAAACACTAAGTGCCTATATAGAAAGCAAATACTTTCATAAGTGCTATAAAAAGATTTTTTAAATCGTGCATACAGACATAAAATCATTCCAAAAACTCACTAAGTTTACAAAATGTTATTTGGAAGAACTGCTTAATTTTGTTGCACCACAGCACGTACCACGTGACTTAGTTAGTGAGTAATTAGTGAACACAGCAGTAAATGCATTGATACAAAACAAAAGATAATTAAGACAAAAGAAAAAGGGCTACTACTGCTATTATTGCTACTACTACTAACTACTAGAACCACTACTACTACTTCTACTACTACTACTACTACTACTACTACTACTACTACTACTACTAATAATAATAATAATAATAGTAAGATATTAAAAATCCAAAACCTTTAACGTCACAAAATATAACATTCTTGAAAAACAATCAAATAAAACACTTAGTAAACAATTGAGGAAGTTTTACAATTTTGTGATACGATTTTTATCTCAAATGTTTGACATAATGTCTTCTGCTTTAAAATCGGATGTCGAGGACATATGGAAGCAGCCGATTGGCTGAACGTGTTGTGACGACACGACGCGGAAGCGCTCTTACACCCAGACAAAGATGGCAGCGCACAGGTGCGGATTCCTGCCTCCGCTGTTCATTCTTTGTGCCTTGTCAGTGTTAACCGTCACATGGACTCAAGAAACAATTCCACTCGGTAGTCACCGAGCAGCTGCAGCGGACAGTAAACCAACAGACACCAAATCAGTGGCACAAACAACTGAGCAGCTCGCGGTAGAGCAGAGGCAATGGGAAGCGACTGAGGTTGAAGAGGCGACTTCTGCTGCGGCTGCCGTCAGCAAACAGGACAATTCTTCCCCTGAAGATGTTGTCCAAACATCCACGCCAAAGCCTAAAGACGAGTTCCAAGAGGAGCTGGTTGTCAGACCGCTCCACTCTGGAGATATTTATGCCAGTTTTCAGTTCCGCACCCTGTGGCAAACGGACTTCACTAGAGAACGCAAAGGTATGCTAAGTGTTAGCTGTAGCATTGATGGATTCCAACATTGTTTTAAAACAGTTTAGTATTCCTATTTCATATCTACTGGTATTTCGTGTAAAATAGCCTCGTTCAATACATTGACATGTCTGTCTGTTATTTTTTTTGTGTTATTATTACGACGAAATATGGCATTTTTAATCAATTTAATCAAGATATTTTCTTTCCTTCACCATTGAATCGTTGTGGATTTGCCTCAAAAAGTCAATGCACCACACCAGCGTTTGATCACAAATATCTAAAAATGGTAATCAGATACGACAACAAAACCCATCTATAAATTCATAAGTTGTCAAAGATATAAAACATGTATAATTTACATTGCACAGACAAGTCGAATGATCAAATTATTTTATTCAGTGTTAAATTACATTCGGGATTATAGTGAAATAGATTTTATCAGTGTAATATTTTAATTGTAATATTTAATATTTTAAACAATTTCATGTTTATATCTGATCATTTAAAAGGCAAATATTGAAAGTTATGTTTTTCTCTTTACTTTTAATTAATATTTTTTTATGAATATTAATAAAATAAAACATCACAAAAATCCTGTTCAACTTAGAAGAACAGAATTAGATGAAATGTAAGTAAAACATCTATCAATAATTAAATGTTTTTTAATTATCATTATTATTTGCCGTTCTGTAGTTTCCCACTATGGATTATTCCCTAAGTCTCTGGGTCAGGTCATCTCCAAGTTCTCAGTGCGAGAGCTACACATCTCCTTCACTCAGGGCTACTGGAGGACCATGCAGTGGGGGCAGCCCTTTCTGTCCTCCCCTCCTGGGGCTGAGCTTTGGGTGTGGTTCCAGGACACTGTGACAGAGTGAGTACATAAAGCTTATAGTACATAAAGCTTTTTATTATTATGTTTTACTTTTCAATGTGAGAATAACATTTTTTGCTCTTTCCAGTGTGGATGGGACCTGGAAGGAGCTGGCAAACGTTCTGTCTGGTATTTTCTGCGCTTCACTTAACTTCATTGACTCCACCAACACTGTTCAACCCACTGCTTCCTTCAAACCACTGGGCATTGGCAATGGTACAGTGAGATTCTTTATCTAACTTAACTTTGTCAAGTCCATCATTAAAGATGGTAACCAATGTGTCAAATCAATGTTATTTCTTTTATTGCCAACATTCACTAAAACATGACTCAATTGACTTAACAGTTTCTACATTAAAATTGAAATAAATTCCTCCTAAAAGTCAGAACAGCTTAATCTGTAGTGTAAGATGTAAAAACTAGTCTTGCTGAGTGAGAGTTTAATAATAAGTTATAATAATAATGACAGTGTCAGTGTACAACAGTCTCAGCTTTTCATCATGGTATTGATTTGTCATTGGAATGAATCATGTTTTTTGTTTTCAGTGACAGATCATCGCTTCCTTCGCTATGCCACTCTTCCACGAGAGATAGTCTGCACAGAGAATTTGACGCCCTGGAAGAAACTGCTGCCATGTGGAACTAAGGTGAGTGTGGAACGCAGGGAGACGATGGACATCTGTTAATTACACACACACACACACACACACGTGAGATTGCTCAAACTTTCTTTTTGTTCTTTGCAGGCTGGTCTTGCTGTCCTGTTAAAGTCTGAGAAGCTCTTCCACAGCAGTTTTTATTCTCAGGCTGTGCACATAAGACCTGTGTGTCAGGACTGGCAGTGTAAAACTGCATCCTGGGAGCTACGACAGACCCTCAATGTGGTCTTTGACCTGCACAACTCTGGACAGGGCAAGAGAGGTGAGGAGAAAAAAGAGAGCGTTCTTGTTGGCTTGTTGAACTAAAGTAAATAAGCCCAGTGTTTAAGAACTGTGGATGTTCCGTCCTGTTGTGATTTACTGAAGCTGTTTGATTTTTCAGAGTGGTCTCTGTTCAAGATGTTCTCTCGCACCCTGACAGAAGCTTGTCCGTTGGCTTCCACCAGTAAAATTTACATCGACGTCACAGACAACCCTGAGGTTTGATTTCCTTATTAAACGCTCTTCACCAGGTTGTTTTCCTGTAACACTGGCTGTAGGCAAATCGCTGAAGACATTTTCTTGACACTGTCATTTTGCAGGGGGAGCAGTTTGAGCTGAGCCCAGCCACTGCCCTGCTGAGCCAGGCTGTAGTGCTCGGGGACAGGCGGACTTTCTCTGTCTACGATCTGACCCAACAAATCACTTTTGGCACCGTGCGCTCCCTCAACGTGCTGATGCGCTGGAAGTCCAGTGAAGGTGAGTGAGAACAACAGCATGTGACATTGTACCCATTTGTTCCTGGAGGCGTTGATTATGTAACAGTCGTTTGTCAAATGTGAGGGACAAACCTGGTTATTTTAAGACGTTTTTGAACAAAGTCAAGGAGAGAAATGTGCTACAATCACTGACAACACTTGATTTAAACAGCAGGAGGCGTTTGTTGTCAAACATAGTTCTGTTGTGTTAGTAATCAGCCATAAGTAGGTCCTCTAACCTGTGGTCTCTTCTTCAGGGGACATGCTGAGGCCTCTGCTCCATGCGGAGCGCTACGTGGCTGGTTACGGGCTGCAGACAGGAGAGATTCACACGCTGATGTACAACAACCACCCGTACAGGTCGTTTCCCGTGCTGTTGCTGGATTCAGTGCCGTGGTATCTCCGCATGTACATCCACACCCTCACCGTCACCAGCAAAGGAAAGGACAACAAACCCAGTGAGTCACTTAAGGATTTATCATTTATCATTTACATGTCATTTATCGAACAAATAAAAAAAATAATCTTGTGCAGAAAAAAAGCTGTTTAACTATTACAAGTTTCCATTTTTAATAGGACAGAATGATGGGTGGAATTATTGGATATAAAATGTAAAATATAATGTGATTAATTTCAGAAATACTTTAATCATGGGAGAAGCCTTGAAAACATTACTGTAATAAACTTCATCCCGTTAGAAAACTTAATTTGATATGTCAGGCATAAAAATGTGTGTAACTTCATTGAGGGTATTGTGTTCTACCACAAGGTGGCATACATGGTACACATTGTTGCAAAAGATTTCAACCAGTGAAAATCAAGATTGCAAAAAGACATGATTAGGTCATAATGAGAAATTATTTTTTAACATGACTCAACAAGAATATCTTTTACACCTATTTATATTTTTGTCAGTTGAAGAAGAGGTCTGATGAGATCAAAGCCTGTAGAGTAAAAGGAAAATAATTGTTACAGTTTTTATCAGAATTGTGAGTAAACGGACAACAAATCAGAATTTTGACTGAGAAAAATTCTAAACAAAATGGACCAAATAGGTCAGAAATGCAGATTTCTTGGGTTTTTAATATATAGAAAATTATACTTTAAGTAATATCCACATCTATAAAAACATCTGCATGTATCAAATAACAAAATGTAAGCATTTTAGACAAATATTTGAAATTAAGCTACACTCATGATTCAACAAAAATATTTTTGGGCTTGCAAGAGCCAGACTTTTTTTCTCATTTGCAAAATAGCGGTGACCGTATGTAATAACATTAGTGACACAGGATTGTGGGTAAAGACTACTTTATTTTTATCATATTTATTATTGATGTTTTTGTTTGTTTGTTTGTTTCTTCTTGCTCTGTTTTAGGCTACATTCACTATCAGCCATCTAAAGACAGGGTGAGGCCCCACCTGCTGGAGATGCTGGTTCAACTCCCTCCCAACTCTGTCACTGAAGTCACTGTAGAGTTTGAGAGGGCTTTGTTGAAGTGGACTGAATACACCCCTGACCCCAATCATGGCTTCTATGTTGGGTACGTTTGTGACATTACTAAACTGAATCCATTGACATTGACATTGTGTCACGTTGGGTTTTTTTTCTTATTATATCAAATTATTTTCTTAAACATGTAGGTCATCAGTCATTAGTTCTCTGGTGCCAAGTCTTGTTGCATTGGATACAAACAGCACCTGGCAACGCCCGCTTTTCAGCACTTTGTAAGTACCGAGTCGTGACTCAGCTTTAATGAAAGGTCATTTAATGTAAGAATCTGGTAGGACTAGAAGTTTGAGTCATTATAATTTATGTCTTCCTGCAGTTTCCCTTGTAAGGAGGAGTCCAGCTACTTTGTGCGAGTCTACACAGAACCCCTGCTGGTCAACCTGCCCACTCCAGACTTCAGCATGCCTTACAACGTCATCTGTCTGACCTGCACCGTGGTGGCTGTGGGCTACGGCTCCCTCTACAACCTCCTGACCCGCACCTTCCAGATAGAGGAGCCCAGCCCAGGTTTGGCAAAGAGGTTAGCCAATATTATTCGTAGAATGCGGGGCGTTCCGCCTCTCTGAGGCCTGGCATTAACACCGGTGGGCTCTCCTTTTTTTAAAAAAAAAAAAAAGTATTTTATACTTTTTGGCAAAAACACTAGTAAAAAGTGATATTCAGGGAGAAATACAGTGCACTGGTATGATTGTTGACTATACCAAGGGTCAACGTCAAGGTTTTCTTTTCTCAATAAGTTCTTTGGACATAAAGAAAAGGCTGCAGGACAAATAAGTTTGGAGTTCTGTTTGTGTCAGAAGCTGAAGGAACTGAACTGTGGAGAATGTGGCAGAGGTGACTGCAGCACTGTTTTTATTTATTGTTTCTTATGCATAGTTCAAACTCTATTCCTCCTCCATGATATCGTGTCACAGAGGAGTGTTGGGGGTGGGTGGGGGGAGTTGGGTGGGTGAAAGCGAGTGTTGAACTAATGTTTTGGTAAGGCTGCTTCCCGACTGACCAGAAGAAAGAACACACCGCCTGTTGATGGACTTTTTCATTTGTTTTCAAGGGTCAGTGCCGTGTTTTCTATTGTCAGACTTTAACAGTGCAGGATCAAACATGCCGACTGACAAACTTCTTCTTCCTGGATGGTTTCGATGGTTCATCACCTGCTTTTCTTTTCTTAAATTGGATCAATGATCTCACAACTGATTCTTTGTTGGAAAAAGCCCTGAAACTATAAACTCTTCTTCAGATTTTTTAGTGATGTCATGAAGGTCCAAGTGCAGTCGAAGATTACGTCCGTCTTTGGTTTTTAACAACAAGTCAAAGAAAGAACGTCATATATAAAGTATTAGAAACACTGCTTTGTCGGTACTATGAACAGCCGTCTCATCAGATATTATGTTGCACTCATTTTTTGACGCATGCTTGAATGTCGCTAATGTTCATGCTAATGAATGGAGGTCATGGATCTTAACTTTTTTCCCCCTTTTCAGACCATGAAGGTGTGAAAGCGATCCGAGAACTTTAATGTCTGAAAGTTCCTCGAATATTGAAAGCTTTTCTCTCTCTCTCTCTCTCTCTCTCTGTGTAGCAAAACTTTTCACCTTTCAATAAACATGACAAAAATGTTTTGAATACTTCGAGTGTCTTAGAGATATGATGGTCCACCCCGGGGTGGATATGAGCCTGTATAAATCTCCGCTCAGTGTGTGTCCTACTTCTGGAAGGTCTATAGAAAACAAACAGTGGCTTCTGTGTTTGGCAGGTCAGATTTTGTTTTTTGTCCCTGTGTATTTTGGCAACAGTGTAGAACAATAACAAAAGGGAAAAAATGCAGCATTCCCTACAAGTGATGTTCTGTCTGGTCAACTGCAAACAATGTTCACTTTATTTAACACATTTTTTTAGTCTAGTGTAACTAGTCATTTAATCCAAAAACAGGCACCAGGAAACGTTTGACCGCATCTGTTTGGGCAGTTTGAACCAACAGTTCTTGGCACTCGGCTCAGTTGTTATGACAGCACGGCTGTGACCTGAAAAATCTCATGAAATAGACCTGATGGGACTGGAGACTTGTGACGGCTGAAAAAATGTCCATTTATTTAAATACAAGCAAGTATAAAGTGCCTTCAATGCCTTTAAAATACACTTTAAAAGAGAGTATATAGAGATGTATATTTGCGCTTAAAGGTAACTGTGAGGAAACTTGATCCAAAGACTTTTTCTAATGTGTGCACAGATGAAGTTAAAGAAGATCGGCTCTGGTCACTTGGGGTCAGTGCAGGCTTTTCCACAGGTGGTTCTGCAGCACTTCTGTTTTTCTGGACACTGACCGTCGTGAACGCAGAACTCTGCACACATGTGGGTTCTCTGGGGTTTAGGGCAGCGTCCGTGCTTCACTGCAGGACCAGAACAAAAACAAGCAGTCGTCACATTCATGTTCATTGAACTAGCAACTGTAAAACTACCACAGACCACTGACTAACCTGCGTTGGGTTCCATGCACTGATGTCCACAGCCATTAGAGCAGCATTTCTGCTCATTAGGGCAGTCACTGTCTGTTTGGCAAAACTCTGCACATAAACCTGCCCCCCACTTTCGGCGGGGGCATCTTCCTGGCTTTGCTGAGGGAAAAGAAGAACATGGAAACATGGCTTTAATTTGTTTATTTTTTAGTAGAAATTACAGGCTTGTTTTCTATGGACTTTATGTCAGTGTTTGAGGCCAAATCAAGTTTTCTGATAAAAGTAAGATTTTAAACAAAAAAAAAAAACACCAACAACTCTCAGTCTCTGTCCAAACAGCCCTACCTGTCGAACAGCCGTCGGCTTCATCTGCAGAAGCTGTGTCGAAGTGCAGGTATGCACACAGTGCTACAACCAGGACACAGACCACGGACCAGTGTCTCTCCATATTGACCTGTTGAAAACACAAACATGGAACTCAACTCTTCTGCACACTTTTATAGCAGCACTGGCCGACAGCCTGAAAGCTGAGCAGTGCAGGGAACTGACGCAGGGTCCGTGTGCCTGTAGAGTTACGTGTCCACACCAGGGACATAGGTTTTTCCGTGTGTAGGAGTTCCCCTTTTGTGTGTGTGTGTGGGGGGGGGCATATCGTTTATCATTAACATCCGTGAGACAAAACTGTGGTCAGGTCTATTCATTCTGACCTAGAAAAATTGGCAGAAGTTGTAATTATTTTACTGGCGGTTATGACTTTGTGTTGAACGTAATTGGTGTCCTTAATTGCTTTTTATTTATTTTTTAATTAGGATAGATTTGTTAATACCACAAATATTTCTGTTGCAATTCAAACCAACTCTGAACTCCTGTTGTCTTCCTTTATTTGCGGTCAAGGCCTCACTGCTGCTGGGTTTTTTTATTTGGTGCAAATGTTTTTTCGTGTCTGTATCAGCTGCTGAAATTAAATGCTCGCAACCGTGTGGAAGACGCACAGTGGCTGAAATTGTTAGCAAGAAATACACTAGTTTGCCGGTTTTATTCCTAGTTTCTTCAGAGTTTGCTTGTTCTGTCCGTCTTCTTGAATCTCCTCCTTGTCCTTGTTTCCTTCAACAGCCAGAAACCACGCAGGGTTCTGTTATTGTTCACTCTAACATCTGTCGACCATAGGTGTGAATAATTCTTGTTCAGGGTTTACTCTTCTTCCCCATGCATCAAAATTGAGCCCTGCGAAATAATTTTTCATCCCTGGATTGTGAGAGAATGCAACTGGTTTAAAGTTCTGCGTGTTTTGTCTGTTGTCACTTTGGGGGAAACATAAAAACACGTCTTCTCTGCTTACAGCCAGACCACTGCCCCATGTGACACTATCAGCCAATCAAATGTTTGCATGCTCTTCAGTTTTTGTTTGGTTTTGTCACCAGATTGTGCAACTTTTTGGACCATTTTCAAGACTTTGGAGAAAAGCCTAAGAACATTCCAGATGAAGGTCGGTGTTAGCGTAGAACACCACATAGACTGTGTGTTTGGTGAGTTGGTGTGTTTTTCTCTCCCACAGCTACAGACTGCTCTGGTGTCAAAAACATAAACATAGAGATCATTTGGTACAAAACACAAAGTACGGACCAGCTGTAGAAGAGAACAGTTTACTCTTCTACTGCGATAAGAACTCGCTCATTTACTCTTCTACTGCGATAAGAACTCGTCTTTATCACAGTAGAAGGACAAGAGATTGGCGGCTAAAAATGTTCTGGAAAAAAAGATCAATAAAAAAAAAAGAACACTCAAAAATATGGGAGTAGTATCTGTGTGATGAAGTAAGACACGTGTGACATTATTCCACTGATATGATTGGTGTTTTGGGTAAACCTCAAAGGTTTGAGGACGGAGTGATCTTGGCCTGGTCTAGGTTGGAAGTTGATTGTTTTGTTTATTTTGGGATGAGTCAGATGTGACACAAAAGCCACGTGTTCCACAAACACCTAATTGAAAAATTGATAAGACATTCTAGGGCAGGGTGAGTTTCTCAGAAATAGTTCCAATTGTTTTTCTTTGTGCTAGTGCTAGTTGTTTGGTCCTTTCTGTGGTTGCCCTCTGCTGGCCCGCTCAAGGTCTCAATGTGCTTTTGTCATGACACTGTCCTATGTGAATGGGCCTACGTTGTGTGAGACACTTGAAATCTCAAAGCTCTAGGGTCACTGTTCTCTTTGGGTCAGTAAGCAGTGACTAAACGATCATAACACAAAGACGTGTACTGTAATACAATCTTTTTACTGCATGACATTGTGTCCACATTTACTGTAAATACGCTGTGACTTCCTGTTGGTGAAATGACTGGACTTACTGTCATTCTTTTCCTCTTCCTCTCTCTTCCTCTCTCTTCCTCTCTCGATCTTTTGTTGCTCCTGAAAACCTGACCTCTCTCCTTTGTGAGGATGAAAAGCCAACCCTGCTGTCTCTGTAGGTCATGACAACAGTGATAGGACATAATAATAATAATCATAATTATGTGGAAGAAGACACAGTTCCCCTCTGTTTCTGCAGCAGTAGTCAGCACACGGACTCTCGTGTTAATACCTCAGTGGGGAGACTGGACTAGAAACTCTTAGTTATTTTCCAGTAAGAAACACATGCTGGGTTTATACATAAATGTTAAATTGATTACACTGTAAAAAAACACATATAACCAACCAAATAGACATAGAGTTCAACAACGACCAGCATGGTCTTTAACCCAGGTTGATGCTATGACCATATAAACCTCACAGAAGTTCCACATCAAAGTCAAACCAGGCCTACCTCCAAGAGCTCCAACATGAAGAAAAGTGGCATATGCTGTAAAAAAAAGTGCTAAAATCAGTGACAAAACAATAAACCAACATTCATTCATGTTGAAGAGAAAAATGCAGAACTGCAGTTTAGGACAAATGTATAGTAACATGCAACCTGTAGACTGAGCTCCTCAGTAAATGTAATGTAGAAGAGTTACTATCTCACCAGAGTTTGGAGGTTTGAGTGTGTGTTTTTGTAGCTATTAGACTTGAATATCTTGTTCAAACAAAAAAACGGAATATCAGTGTGACATCATTGGACTGTCCCTTATTTATTTACGATTGATTTTACAGCCGAAACCAATGTGAATTAGCATCATCATCGTGCTATTATTAATGGTAAAAGTGCTAGTTGTTTGGTGCTCGAAACAAAAAATCTCAAAGTTGTTTTTCTTTCCTGTTAGAATTGATGTTTAATGTTTCTTTTACTCAAGCTTGAAACTAGTTGAACCAGAGTGACGAGTAGAGACATGCATCTCACACACACACACACACACACACACACACACACACACACGAACATGTCCTTTTTTTGCAAACGTCTTTATTTCATTGTAACAAACTGTTGCCCAGTGTGTGGTTGGTACAGACTTCACTGCATGCTGTCTCTTCAGCTTCTTTGGACCCTCACCATCATTTCAGCACAACTCTGCAGATGTGTGGGTTCACTGAGGCTAAAAACAAAAACATAGACACAGTCAAGATGTGTGAATATTAAAGGAATCGTGTCAATAGTTAACACGGTGACACAAACCTAATCTTTGACTGGTGTCATGCACACATGTCCACATCCATTGGAGCAGCACTTTTCATGACCAGTGCAATCACTGTCAGAACTACAGGCTTCAACACAGATCCCAAAACCTGAAGGGTCTGGACATTGTCCTCCCTTTTTTGCTGAAAAGAAATACATTTTGTTGAAAAAAAGAAAAGAAAAAAAGTTTCAATGACAGAGACTGACCTTAAAAAAGCAACAAAAAACAAAACAAAAACAGGTTATAAAGTGGATCCCGGTGTTCTTTATCATAGACTCAAACAAAGAGGTTTTTTTTTAAATTAATAAATAAATCAAATGCTCCAACATCTGTAGTCAAACCAGCCTTACCGTTTCCACAGCCATTAGCTTTGTCAGTAACGACCAGGAGAGCTAGAACCAGCACAAAAACGACAGACCAACGTCCCATCATGATGAAGATTGTAGAGGTTCAACTTTGTCAAAACTATACCAAGGTGTAACCTGTAGGCTGAGCTGTGTTGGTTTATATGGGGACAGTCGATCTGTGAACACAATCTCACCAGTGCCAAGGAATGTTTGGGTGTGTTTGTGTTTGTGTTGTTTCATACTTATACGACCGGATACAAGATATTATTACCATGATGTAACTAGAACGTGACATGCGTTTTATACCTCTTTTAAAGTAAGAGATAACCAAAATTGATTTTTTACTTAAATATATTAAATACATATTTTGAATGAATGTTTTCAAAAATTCCTATTGAATTGTATAGTCTTTTTTCGTTTCCATTCGTCACAAGCCTGTCTATCAGTCTGTTGTCGCCCTCTAGTGGCACGGCCAGGAGCTTCTTTACCCCTTTTTAACTCAACCCTAGTTCAGTACTCAAACCTGTCACCAGTTGACCTGCTAATCAATGAAGCCCCGGGGTTTATTGTTCTTCTTCACATTTTGTCTGTGATTTGAAAATCGTATTCATCCTTATTTTCCTGGTGTTGTAGACATATTCTTTTCCAGAATTAATCAATTTAACACCAACTTTGAGTCAGTGATTTGACGATAGCTGTATTTTTTTTTATTGCTGTTTACCTTGTTTTTAGGGTTTCCACCGTTGGTGGAAAAAAATATCCACCAACGGTTAATATATGGTTTGTTGTTTGTCATCAACTCAAAGTAAGAAAATATTTATAGCCGCTAGGTGTCTCCCTTTAAACACCAGCGAGACGGGCAGGTGCATAAGTATTATTGTTAATGTATATACATATTTTTTTCTTTTCTCAACCGATCTGTTATTCCCTTATAAACTGATTAATCTGACGTCAGTTCACATCAGTTGTTAGGCCCGTGTTTGATTAAAGGTATGTGAAATAAAATAAAAATAAACAAACCTATGATTTATATATATATATATATATATATATGAAGAATATGTGGGTTTTTCGGGACTAACAGATGTTGCACTGTACTTTATGTAAATATATTCTGTTTGGGGTTGCTGTGATTGACAGGTATCCCCCAAACCCTTAAGCAGAGAGAATCCACTAGGTTATTATACTGGGGGGTGATGAGCAGTGAGAAGTAATTTTACCCTGAGGAGAAAAAAAGAAGGAGAAAGCCATGCAATTTACATGTCCACCCACATTTAATTCTCAGCAGCCGGTGGATCTCAGCTGTGGGCATTTTAATATATAAGATCTGTTGTTTTCCTCATTTACTTTCATACACACTCTGACGTATCTGACACTCATGCAGGACTGTGTGTGTGTGTGAGTGTGTGTGTGTGTGTGTGTGCTCTGAACATGTGTACATCAACAAAACCTGTGTTGTTTTCATACCTATACCTATTTTTTTTTATTATGTTTTATTTTCTCCTCACCAAACCTTTTAACCACACTGTTTCTCCCAAATCCTACCCCCACCCCTCCCATGTCCTTGGAAAATTCAATCATCATAGATGTTGCAAGAAAACCTTTTTCCTCTATGTATTCATGTAACAAGGCTCCTGCTGGTGGCTGTTATTGTACGCCCTTGAAATGATGTAGATGCTATCAGTTTCACTGGTGGCTGCGAACACTGAGCGTGTGAACGGAGTGGAAATAAAGATGGTTGAGTAGCATCGTAAGTGAACATTAGCAGGTATGATTAGAGCTGGCGTCGGCGAGAGAGTTTAAAGATGAGGCAATCTGCCAAATTCTACGGTCGTTCTGGAGCCTTATTTTTATTCTCATAGATGGGAGTGAACAATAGAAAAAGAGATATGCTCACACAATGGCACTGGTAGAAAGAAGAAAAGGCAGCCGAGCGAACAGTCGCCACGGCCGGCTCCCTAAAATTCAATATGCTCCTGACAAGTTGCTTTAAACAGCGTCCAGCAGATATTAAAGCAGATTATTCCTTTGAAGGTAGAAGATAAATGGCCCCACATTTATGTTTCAGATATTAAATCATTGTTCATCACTGGCTTTCTTTTCCATACCCTGTTTGGGAAACAAATGAGATTTTTTTTTTTGAAAGGATTCTTTTGCTGCTGTAACAGAAACCTCTCTGCAGCCAAAGTCACATGACAGAGATGATAAATGAACACAATTTCCCTCCATGTGCCCATATTGTTTACGGACTGACCCAAAACAAGTCACAGCGCCACCTTCTGACCTCCAGGGCCCCTCCCTCTACTTTCCCTTAGTCAATCATGTATCACATTGTGCATTAACCTGCCATTGACCTCTGTATGCTAAACCCAATTGCCATATTATCTCCACCATTATGTCCCAGCCTAAGTTGTCTTCCCTGGACTGAATCAGATTTTGTGTCCCACTTTAACCCCCCCCCCAGGGCATAAAAATGTCTCGGATGACTGGCAGGTGCTGTGGTGGGATATAGCTTGGCATGTTAAGAGTGGGTTTGTCTAATTTAATGATTTTATATGTGGTCTGAGGCATTAGTAA